AAACTTTTTATAGTTGTCTCAAGTCACTGAATTTGGAAGTAATTCGTTATGGAGCAAGAAATAAGAAGTGCAACAGCTGGGCATGGTGGCACAATCCTGTAATCCCAGCAATCTGGGAAGCTAAGGCAGGAGGATCACAAGTTTGAGGCCAGCCTCAGCAACTTATGGAGGCCCTAAGCAACTTAGTGAGATCCTGTCTCAAAAATTTTAATAATGGGGACTGCAATGTGGCTCAGTAGTAAAAAGCCCCCCCAGGTTCAATCACCAGTACCAAAATAAGAAAAAAGAAAGAAATACAACATAATTTTTTAAATTCTGCAAGACAAAAATCATTATCAGTGCAGTCAAATGACAAACTGGGAAGGAATTGGGAAAAATTATCACAGAACAAAAGTCTAACATCCCTAATATGTAAAGAGCTCCAAAAATTCAGTAAGAAAAAGACGAAGAATTCAATGGGAAATGGGTAAAGGATATGGATTCACAGAAGGGGAAATACAAAAAAAATATTCCCTAAACATAAAGGCATGCTCACCTTATTCATTTGAGAAATGTGAAAAATAGCACCAAAATTTAAGTATCATTTTTAATCTATCAGATCAGCAAAAATATAAAAGTTTATTATAATTCATTGGTGAGGCTATAAGGAAACAAAGTGTCATGCGTTACAGGTAGGCGTAGAAATTAATGCAATTCATTGAAGGTAACTTGGCAATAATTATCAATACTACCCAATTCACAAAACTTTTGATCAAAGCACTTATACTTTGGGGACTTTTCCTACAGACATATTTACACGTTTATGAATAGACATAAGCACAATTTTGTAGAAATGATGTACATACTTGTATAAATAACAACCCTGGTTTTAATAACAGCATAAGATTAGAAATTAAATATCTAACAATAGAGACTGGGTACATAAATTATTGAATGTTATGCGGACATAAAAAAGAATAAAGAGGTACTTTACATACAAATATGGAATGATCACCCAGACAAATTTTTTCAGTGCAAAAAGGAGGGTTAGAAGAATAAGCTCTTGGGCTTTTAAACAGAGGATCAAGGTCTTACAAATACAATTGTTCACACATATATAAAACATAACCCTAAAAGATTAATATAAATCTGGTAACACAAATTACTTCTGGGAAAAGAAACTTGATAGCTAAAGGACAGATGAAGAAGGAAGATTTCTTACGTTTCGAATTTTGAATCATATGACTAACTTACCCTATTTAAAATATATATATATATACATATATATATATGTATATATACACACACACACACATATATATATACATATATGTATATATACACACACATATTTATATATACGTGTATACATGTATATTTTAAATTTAACATTTAGAAAGCACTGGACATAACTTGATGACTTCATTCTATAAATATCTGTGAGGCCCTGGCATATAGCAAGCAGCGTGCAAGGTGATAAGTACATAGTACTCAGCTGGCCATAACCATCCTTCGTTGACCTTACAGTCCAGGAAGATAGAGGTCAAAGAGGGCAACCAAACAGTTATAGCCTCAGCATACATTCCCAAAATTCTTATGTTGACACCATGGCCCAAAATTATTGGGAATATTACTTAAGAGGGGCAAAGCTCTCATACATGGGATTAGTACCCTAATAAAACAGGTCCAGGGAATTTTCTACCCATTTCCACCATTTGAGGACCCATAAGAAATCACACTGTCTGTGATCCAGGAAGTGGGCCCTATCAGATAAGGAAGGTGCTAGTGCATTGTGACCTCTGACCTCCCAGCCAAAACTTCTCTGGCTTTATAAGCCACCCAATTTAAGGTGTTTTGTTATAGTGACCCAAACGGACTATGGCAGCTATTCAGGGAGAGAGCACAATACTATGAGAGAGGTAACAGATGGGACCTAACTTAGAGAGCAAGCCAGGGAAAGCCCTCTGGGGAAGGGCTCCTTTGGCCAACCAGGAATTAGCAAGTTTCTGATTATTTATTGCTGCAGCCTGAACTACCATCCCCAAATATCAAGGTTGCATACTGTTTCTTTGTATCTCACAAATGTTGGGGTCTGCAATTCAGATGGGACTCTTCAGCCCAGTGAAAGCACTCATAGACCCACCCAGACCCAAGAGGAGGGTCAGGGATCTCACTCCTCCATGGGAGCAGCATCAAAGAATCTGCCACCCGTCTACCCACCCCAGCAGGCAAAAGAGATGTTGGGGACACAGTAGGATGAGAAGGTGGATGGAGGGGCTGGCAGCCAGGTCCCACTGAGTCCTCCAAGTGCACTAAGGACTTTGAATTTTATTTTCTATACAATTTTCGTATACTACCAAGTCCAGCTGAGGAGTCGTGAGCACAGAAATTAACAACCTCCCCTGTTCTACTGAAGCGGATAGCTTATACCTTCCTTGCCTGTGTCACACTCATGCTGGGATACCTGCACGTTCTGCTTATTGTAAATGCTAAGTGGAATACGTACATCAACGTATTGAGTAACTGAAGATCTGAGACAGCTATATTTGAAGAGAAACCTTAAATTATGTGATTCTCAAACTTTCATGCACCTACGAATTGCCTGGGGGAATCTTATTAAAATGAAGTTTCTGAATCAGTGGGTCTGGGAGAGCTGGAAAGTCTGCCTTCCTAACAAGCTCCTGTGCCAAAGTGTACACTTTTAGTGGTGAGTGTTCAGAAATGTCACAGGTTTTCAGTTGCAAGGAAGAAATAATGAAATACAGGTACAAACAACCATAGGTGAAATGATGCCATCCGAGCCCACGATCTTCCTCCTATCTTCTTGCTATTTTGTCCTTGTTACCACTTTCATCCTAATGCTAATGCATCTCATAGCCTTTGATGGCTGCTGAAGTTCCATGAATTATTTCCAGACACTACAAAGTCCAGAAAGAGAAAGATACTGTATCTATGTGTGTCTTCTTTGCAGGGAGAAAGCCTTCCCCAGAGATCTACCAGAAGTCTCTCAGAAGACTGCCTATGTCTTTGTAGTCAGAATTGGGTTACATATTCAGCCCTAAATCAATCATGGGCAAGGAGAGCAAGAGGATTGGAAATTCCACATTGATCTAGATTAATCTACAGCTAGAACTGGCAAACAAGGGAGAAAACCTGAACAAAGTTGGGGTTCTACTAGAAAGTAGCAGAAGGCAACCAATGGTATCCTCATAGTGTGATATATAATTTGGTTAATTGCTTATATAGAGACCTATGTATAATCTATACAACATAAGGATTTTTTTTCTCAAAAAAATGTTAAGTACAAATTTCAAAATGCTACCCAACACCCTTTAAAATGCAGATGGAAACAAACATGATCTTGATTTCAGCTGGTGTGAAAAGGTCTCGAACAATGGCAAACGTGGTACCTGTTCTCTTGAAATCTACAACTTTTTTGGGATAACAAAACAGAAATTACTAAAGCAACCTATTAGATAAGATAAACAAATGAAGTTTTTCACTCCATTGGCCAACCCTTACTGAGGAATTGCTATAGACAAATAACTGTGTTGAAGGATTTGGGAGATGAAAGTAGAGTGCCATCCCACTAAGATCCAGCAGTTTAAGACACATATGCAAATAATGATGGGCACAGCCTATAACAATATAAGCACTAGTAAGATGGTGGAAGGAAACCTCCACCTCTGTTCTGGAGTGTTAGAAGGAAGGTAGAGGGAGAATCGTATCTAGTGGTACCCATGAGAGATGGGGAGGTTTTTCATAAGCAGTAATGGTTGTGCTAAGGGAGGAGTTGGAGAATGAAAAGATGGAAGAGAAGAACATTCCCAGTTGGGAGGGAATATACATGTAGCATAAACGACCATAAAGGAAAGCGGTCAGTCCTATTGTATGCTCATTAAAATCTCTTAACAGCATAAAGCCATAAATAATATCAAGTAAATACCAAGTCATACATGGAAAGAGCAAGACAAAACAGACCCTGAGAAGGGAGAAGGCTGAGCCATCTGTGTAAGGAAAATGTCCATGGATGACCAGGGTGGAAAGGACAGGGAAGGTGAGCAGGAGGCAAGACAGGTTCATGCTTAAAACTCCTAAATATCAGTTTCAAGAACAGAAACAGTGTCTACCATGAAGAAATTACAACAAACAAGGAGATGGAGGAGGAATATATCAATTAAAAGATACCTAAAAGACTTATCAATCTATTCTAATGTGTGGATTTTACTGTATTTGAATTCCTATTCAAACTAGCACTTGTTAGGAAAAATAATTATGACATTTATAGGCAATGGAATGCAGTACTAGGACTTGAAGATTAAGAAATCGTTGCAAATTTTAAGGTTCTGCTATTGTGGTATTTTTGTTGTTGTTTTGAGAATCCTTATCTTTTAGATGCACATCCTGAAATATCTGTGGATGAAATGATGTCTGAAATTTTCTTCAAAATAATAGAGTGAAGGAAAGGTACTGATAAAATAAGGTTGGCCATGATTTGATGGTGGTTGCAGTTGGGTGCTGAGGTTCATTATACTATTCTGCCCTGCCGCTGTATATGTGTGAAATTTACCATAATAGAAAATATAAATCAAACTGCAAAAAAAGTAGGGCAGCAGGGATCAAGGCCAGTGGGGAAGCTCCGCCCATTGAGCTGGAGGCCCCGCCCCCGCCCGTCCTCCGCTGCAGCAATCTGCTCTTGCAGGTTTCCAGTTTCTGGTGTCTCCCGACTTTCTCATTTCTCGTGGAGAATCCATTAGCTCTCCCCCTTCCCAAATCATAAATCTCTCTCTAGATTCTGCCCCGATCCCGGCGGACGGCTCCGCGCCCCGCGAAGTTCCCCGTGGCCTCCGGCCCTGGAGCCGCGGCAGCCCGGCTCCCCCACGTCGCGGCGGAGTTTGGTCGCGTCCGCCGCCCCGCCCCGCCCCGCCCTGGGGAGCGCGTCCGCGTCGTCCTGGCAACACTGCGAGCAGGTGCCGGCGCCGGCCGAATCCCGCCCGGGAACCACCTCTTAGGTGAGTGGCCTCGGACCTGAGGCTGTGAGTGACCCGGGGTCCGCCGAGCTGCGAAGGAAGCCTGAGTCCCGGGCAGGTGTCCAGCCCTGTCCATCGGCCAGGGTTGTAGGAGAGGTCAGGACCCGAGGGCTAAATGAGGATGGGTGGCGCGTGGGGGCGGGGGGATGGAGTGAAAGGTCCCTGAGCGAGGAAGTGCTTGGCCTGACTGCTGGAGGAGGAGATAAGGCCGTGGGGGCGCGACCCTAGAGACAGCTCCATGCCCCATGCGGTGGGCAAGCTGGCATGAAAACTACTCCTGTACCTGCCTGAGGTAGAGGTGGTGCTGAGCCCCGAGCAGCCTCCCACGATCATGCTAGGGAAAGGGAGTGCAATGGGAGGGGAAAGCAGAAACTTCTATGGGAAAGTGGTTATTAAGCACGTCCTTCAGAATATGCACGTATTTTACTTGACATTATAGACTCTAGACTCTAAAGTTACCGGCCTTCTGGGGTTGGGGGGAACCCACAAAGATACACACAGGATTTTACAACCAATTTCAAGGGCTTCACAAAGCAACCCCCTAACCCCAAGTTTAGAAGCTAAGTTGTGGAAGACAAAGTGCGATTTGTAAAGTGCTGTTACAAGACAATAAATTATTGGGTTTTTTTTGTTTTTGTTTTTGTTTTTGCACTGATAAATTTATTATGATTTAAATTTAGTTTGGGTTAAAGAATTTGAGGAACATAACCATTATAAGGCAATAAAGTATTTATGTCAAATGAGCAATATAAGCAGTAATTGCTTAAAAAAATGTTAAAGAGTTTTGGGATCAATGTGGATTTCTTGAAGAAAGTAGAATTTCAAATGAGCATGTTAAGGGAAGGCAAGTATGACAAAATGTGCAACCTAAACTGAGACCCACAGAGGAATGTCCCCAGGTCTCTACACCTGGCAGACTATAGCCTTCACCATCTCCTCATTGCCCCCTGTTAACAGAGGGGCCCTGGAAGGTGACTCATAAATGCCACACCTGCAAATAGATGATCCAAATGTTGAAGAAATTCATGGTCACATGCCTCTGAGAAGCTGATTTGGTGAAATTTCAGAAACAAGAAAACTATTTAACTATCCGACATTTTCCAGGTTTATTTGACTATGAAGGCCTTTACTTTCCCCTTCACATATCCAAGAAGCATCTCAGGAGAACATTTTGGGAAAAAGCTCTTGAGGTTCACAGAAGGGTTTGGAACCCGGGCACTATTATTGGGTTATGATGGGTGATGTTCATAATGGAAGATTAATGGGACAGCTCGTGTGGGAATGGAGTGGTCAGCATACACTAGAGACAGGGAGGGCCTGAACCACAGTAAACCATGCAATGATAAGAGGTACAATTGTCAAGAACTGAGAAAAAAAAATGTGCATGGTTTCTCAAGGATGATTATACTCGTGCTGTTTTCTCCTCAGGAAATGACTTTTGGCTCTAGAAGGAAGAATCCATTTCTCACCCAAAAATGGCAGTGGTGAAAGCCCCCAGACAAGAGCAGAAGAATGCAGAAGAACCCTTTAACAACATATCACCCCTGCTTCTGAAGAGTCTAGTGGAGGAGCCCAAGAAAAGAGCAGAAGTACCCAATCACCTACTTGAATCAAGTAAGCAGTTAGAATACAGATTTGCTTTCCAACTCACATCTTCTCAGGGGAGTCAAAGTCCAGACAGCATAATGGAATTATTGGTGATGATTTACCTATATTGTTTTATAGGCTCAGAATAGTTTTTACTACTAAGAACAGTAGTTCTATTCAGATCTAGTTGTTTCACCTGTAAATTTTTGGGATGTCAGACACCAACTTCTGTTATTTCCACATCCTCCAATGTCTCTGCTGCCTGTCCCTGCTGCCTGTTTCTCACCCTCAGCAGTCTCAGGACTATTACAGCACTTTCCTCCTGGCCACACTCTCCTCCTATCACTTTCTGTTTTAGAATCCTGGCTGACTCTTGTCTCTATCCTGTTTGAACACTTTCAACAGTTCCCACTGCACACAGAATAAAGTCACAATACCTTCGCTTGGCATTTGGCCCCCTTTACTGTCTGATCTGAACTTGACCCCCCACTGCCATTTCCCTGCTGGGCCCAAGCTCCAGTTCCTACCAGGCTATCCCACTTCTTCAGAGGAGGGGCATTTTTTACCTTCTTGCCTCTTCTCACGCACAGTCTGGAAAGCCTAAAAAAATCTTAGAGTTGTTATACAAAAGGGTAATCATTTTACCTGCATTATTTTCATTTAATCTACGCACAACAACCTCATGGGTACATTCGATTTCCATTTTACTGTTGGAGAAACTGAGACTCAGAGATCCCATGATTTCCTAAACTGGCACAACCCATAAGCTGAGAGCTGGTAGAGCCCCGGGTCCAGCTCTCCACCATCATGCTTGGTTGCCCGCCCCCATCCTCCAACCCCCGTCTTAAATGTTAGTAATGTAATATTTTGGTTTTACTCTTTTGTCACTGTAGAATGCATGTGTCAATTGCAAATTGATATACCTTCACCATTTCTGGGCATAAAAATGCTAGTTTCACATCTACTTTGTGGCCCTAAAACAAAAATCTTTCAGCATTAAAAATATATGTATTGAATAATGGTAATTTGAATATTTGAGAAATGACCAAATAATAACCTGCAGAGATCACCAGTCCCCTGACACACCATCCTCACCCTGTTCCAGCCCTTCAATTTGGCCTCAATATTGACAAGTCACCTGGTAAGAAGAAAACCAAGGTCTCACACCCACTTCAGATGTACCCAGATCCACAATGGGCAAAGGATGGGATGCAGGTGTCTGTGGCTCACAGGATTTGCATGTGGCCAAAGTAAAAAAAAAAAAAAAAAAAGGTTGTCTTTTGTGAGAAATAAGATGGTGCGTGCATTCTGAGGGAAGCAGGTGAGTGGTTGGAATTAGACCTGGGCTTGATTTTTGACTACCAGTCAGGGGTAAATTGCTTAATCTTGTTGAGTCTCAGCTTCCTCCTCTGCAAAGTGGAAATAATACCTCACAGGGTGGGAAAGAATGTTATAAGCAAATGTATGCAGTACACTGCCTGACACAAAGCACCCAGGCGTGGAAAGAATCATGCACTGGGGTCTCAGCCCCTTTTCCACATGCCTGCATTCCAGCATAAATAGAAAGTAAAGTTCTATAGAGCTGGATGTTTTCAGGAGCTCAGCTGTTTTAACTTTGTTCTCAAAACTTAAAGAGGAAAAAAGATCTTCACATTACAATAAAAGCAATTCAAGACTACTACCTGGAGCTTCATTATTATTCAACGTCATGTTATAATGCTGTCCAGAGGAAATCAAGTTATAAAAGTTAAATACACAGTAATAAAATCAAATCCTTGGTGTTTGGATACTTTGAACTAGATATTCATCATTTAGTAAGTAATCTCAGTATCAACACAGACAGGGTACATAGGCTTTACCAGTTGGTGTTTTATGAGAAAGATATATTCAACATCTGTGAAGAGCAAATTATTTTAATAGGTAATAAGTGCAATGTGAATTTGTTGTGACAGGAGCATCTCCCAAGTAATGCTTGAGTACAGAGAGGAAAAGCCACCCAGTTTCTTCAGAAAAGACAGTTAGTCTTGTTGATAGCTGAATCCAGTGTCTAAAACTTTCATATGCTGAAAATGCCCTAAATTAAAGAGAGCCCCTGTTTAATAGGATCTTGTTTAACTTAATATTTCCTTTGAAGTCTCATAATGTTCTTACCTTGTTTTTACAGAGGTTTATGCCAAGCTTCTAGATAATAAAATCATCCAGGCCAGACCCGGTATAGTGCATTTTGGAGGCTATCAAATAGAAAAACAGCACCAACAGATTCTGGTAGGTACTTTTTAAGAGGGATAATTAACCATAATAAATAGTAAAATGACATGAGTGTTCTGCACTTATATTTCTCATTTACCTGAAGAGCAGCATAATTCACTGAAGTGCCTGGCCAGAAGTATAGTTTCATGATGGAAAAAATGTTAAAGTTGCATCAATTTCCACTCTGCCAAAGGCTCCTCCAGCACTCTTTCCAAATGTATGTCCCTGCTCAGCCACTCTTAGGGCAGACACTGAGCTTCTTCTTTACAGTATTGCATTTAGTCCTCAGCTCTGTGAAGGTTGTGTTATAGCTCTCATCATATAGATGAGGAAACTGAGATTGCAAAGTTTAAATTATTTGTTCAAGCACAGAGCTACTGAGTGATGGGAGCAGGACTTGACTCCTAGGCTGCTTTCCTCCAAACCACTCTGGTTCCAGTTCCAGGAGAGGGGTCTGCCTTTCCCAGGAGGTCCCAGGATCCATTTAACCTTGTGCCTACCTAAGTCATTCTGGCCAGAGAAGATTTGTTGATATCTAGGAAGGCAGAGGCAGCTCCGCTGTACAGGTTCCACAAGAGACAGAGACTGGACTGCAAAGTAGCCAGAGCCCACAGTGATGGACATTAACTAGAGAGCCACATGGAAGCTCAGTCTTTCTGGGTCCCCTTCATTGACTTGGATGTTGACCAGAGTGGGCTTTGTGTGACTTCAGAGTCCTACCTGTACTAGCCAATGTGAAATGTATTTAAATCGGCATTCCAACCTTAGTGTCCTCACCACTATCCCCTAAAGTCACAATGGACATAACATCCCAGAACTGCTCCACACTGAGTCCTAGATCTGACCCAAAAGGCCTCTGAGATGTGATGGGGTGGGGGCAAATGTATGTTCTCTTCCTGTGGACATTCTGAGACCCTGCCTCTACATGTGATATTCTCCGTCTGGCCCTGGCCCCAGCTACCACATAACTTTACTTTTAGATGTAATGTGTTCTTAGAAGTCACGCCATAAAGTAGATCATTTTTAAAAAGAGTTCGATTATTGTGTTAGATTGTTCAGAGTGAGGTTGAATCACTGCAGGAAACTGACAAATGGTAAAGCTGTCAGGAAGTAAAATTAGAGTTCTATCAGGCAGTCCTCAGTGAAGAGGGGAGAATGCAATTTCTGTGAATCCTTAATCAACGAAGTGGGTAGAGAGAGAACAGGTTTGGAAAGGAACCTGTTAGGGGACAAGTATTTCCTCTTAGGAAGAGGACTAGGATTTAAATATGATCAGGAACTCCACCCAGCAACCTCCAAGGAGACCTTTCTTAGAACATGGTATCAAAGACCAAAGTTGATTATTGATTTTGGGGACTACTTTTCCTTGTTGAAGTTTGCTATTCTAGGTTATTGTAGGGCAGTACTGAGATAATTATTATTCAGAATTACTGTTCAATGGGGCTGGAGTTACGTACGAGGCCCTGGGTTTGATCCTCAGCACCACATATAAATAAATAAATAAATAATTTTTTAAAAAAATTATTGTTCATTAACTAAATCATGCCAAAAGCTAAAATAGGATGCTAATACTTGCTCCTTATTATTCTCTCTCTCTCTCTCTCTCTCTCTTTTTTTTGGTGGCAGCACGGTGACAGCGGGGTACCAGGGTTGAACTCAGGGTCACTGAGCCACATCCCCAGCCCTATTTTGCATTGTATTTAGAGACAGAATCTCACTGAGTTGCTTAGTGCCTTGCTTTTGCTGAGGCTGGCTTTGAACTCATGATCCTCCTGCCTCAGCCTCCTGAGCCCCTGGGATTACAGGCATGCACCTCCGTGCCTAGCTACTATTATTTTTTTTTATAGCTTCATTGAAATAAAATTCACATGCTGAAAATTTACCCATTTACAGTATATGTAAATGTATATGGGGTACAGATTCATATATATACCTATGTATATATATGAATCTGTACCTCATCCCTTTCTAAGACTGGATAATATTCCATTGTTTGGATAGACCATATTTTGATTATCCATTCATCAGTGATGAGCATTCAGGTTGTTTCCACTCGAGGGCTCTTTGTGTAAATGTTTTTGTGTGAAAGTTTCAGTTTTCATGAACATATACCTGTCAGTGGTATTGTTGGAATCTATGGTACATAAACTTTAGATAGCTTCCATAACAAATTACCACAAATTTAGGGTATGTAAAAATGGAAATTTATTCTCTCTCAGTTCTGGAAGCTGGAGTCTAACCTTAAGGTGTCAGGAAGGCTGCACTCCCTCCCCAGCCTTGGGAGAGACTCTTTCAGGTTCCGGTAGCTCCGGATTTTCCTTGAATTGTGCCTACAATCCTCCAGTCTCGGTCTCCATCCTCACGTGGCCTTTTCCTCTGCTTCCCTGTGTCCTCTTCTTCTTGGAAAAAGTTACTTGTCATTGAATTTAGTGCCCACTCAGGTAATCCAGGATGATCCTGTCTAAGATCCTTAACTTTACATCTGTAAAGACCTTTTTTCCTATAATGTCCCATTCACAGTCTCCAGGGATTATAATCTGGGTATATCTTTTTGAGGACACTATTTTCCCATTTTCTTTACAACTTTCTAATGACTAATAATGTTGAGTGCCTCTTTATGAGCTTACTGGCCATTTGTACCTTCCTTAGAGACATACCTATTCAAATCTTTTGTCCATTTTATAATTGTTTATTTTTTATCATTGGGTTTTAAGAGTTCTTTATTCTAGATAAAAATTATTTATCAGATATTTGACTTGCTATTATTTTATCCCATTCTATGGGTTGTTTTCTAACTCTCTTGATGATGTCTTTTGTAGCACAAGTTTTTAATTTGGATGAAGTCCAATCTATCTGATTTTTCTCTTGTTACTTCTGCTTTTGGTGTCACATCTAAGGACTCATTGACAAATCCAAGGTCATAAGGCTTTACACCTGTTTTCCTCTAAGAGTTTTATAGGTTTAGCTCTTAAATTTAGGTATGTAGTTCACTCTAATTTTTGTGTATTATATGGGGTAGGGATTCAACTTCAATCTTTTTCATGTTCTAGTATTTTTTGTTAAAAAAAAGAATACTTTCCCCCATTGAGTGGACTTAACACTTTTTTTTTAAAGAGAGAGAGAGAGAGAGAGAGAGAGAGAATTTTAATATTTATTTTTTAGTTTTCAGCGGACACAACATCTTTGTTTGTATGTGGTGCTGAGGATCGAACCCGAGCCGCACACATGCCAGGCGAGCGCACTACCGCTTGAGCCACATCCCCAGCCCGACTTAACACTTTTGTTGAAAAATCAATTGACTATTGAAAATCAACTGGACTCTCTGTTCCACTCTGCCAATCTGTATACCTTATGATAATGGTGTTAAAACACTTGATAATAGAGTTCATAGTAAGTTTTGAAACCAGGAAGTATCAATGCTCCTGTTCTTTTTTAAGATCATTTTAAGTATTCTGAGTTCCGCAATCTCATATTAATGTTGGGACCACCTTGTCAATTTCTGGAGAAAAAAAAGCATTGCTCAGATTTTGATATGAGTCACATTGAATCAATTTGGGGAATATTGCAATCTTAATGTGAAATCACAATTCTTTCTTATGATAGGTGTTTCATAACTTTTGTCACTAGCTTTAGGATATTTTCCACCTTTATGCATGATGTAGGGCAGAAGGACTCACCTTCCATAATATAGAATCACATAAGGGCCTATTTGCTAAGATTCCCCTGGTTTTAAGAAATACTGATATTCTTTACTGGATGACATTATTAGAGTTAATAATTACCTGGTAATTTAAAAAGTTATTATGCCAAAATATTACCAATAACACGATTCTTTTGAGTAATAACATTTTAAAACTGCCTTTGTGTGTGCACGAATGTGCATGCTTAGAATAATGTCAATGATTCTAATAATGTCACTAAATTTAAAATTGTTTTGCCCTCTTCATAATTTTAATCATATTAATTATATACTTTTCTATTCATTTCTCTGATTGATCTTTTTTGTTTCTCTGATTGATCTTTTTTGTCTATTACTCTATCTCCGATGAAAAATATTATTATGTTTTTAATAGAGTTGAAAATTTTCTTATGTTTAATTCTACACGTAATAAGAGCATCTATTATATGCTAAGCAAAGTGTTGAAGCATTATAGGGAAGGTTAAGGTGCACAAAATCAAGGTTTCCAAGTAGTTGAAGATATTAAGAAAACAACCAACAACTTGAACATGATACTAGACAAGCAAGGTGGTATAGGAAGCAAAAAGAAAATCCTCTGTGGCTATAAGGCACCACCTCACCCAATCAGGAGGGTCTAAAAGGCTTGGGAAGGAGATGCTGTGTGTGACAGCTAAGAAGAAAAATGGGAGTGGGGAGAAGACCTTCAGGGCATGGAGAAAGACATGGCAAAAAGCTTAGGGTGAGCTGTGGTGTGGCATATTTGGAGGCCAGTATGCAATCTGGTTTACCTGGGTTATAGGACTTGTGGAGGGAAGTAATGATGGAGAAGGTAGGGAGTGTGGATACAGATGAAAATAGAAATAAAGAGCATGAGTATAATTTTTATAGCAAAGGAGGTTAAGTGTTTTTGAGCAGAAAAATGTTGCACGTGAGAAAATGGAAGTCCATTCCATGGAATATTAGAGATGGATGTGGTTCTCAACCCATTCTTTCATTATTATCCCCTAAGGAAACATTAATGAGAGAAATGAAATATCAAGGAATAAGGTTTTGTAAGGTAGGGTTGAGCTTCAGAACGTTCGAAGACACTGCAATATTTACTTCCCAAGAATCAGACTTTTCTTCTCTTGAGGGTGATCTTACTCCCACTGAGCATGCCTGGGAACCCAGAGAGTATGATTTAATTGTTGAAAAAGGTGATATCTCAACTCTGCTCCACTCTGCTGAACAGAGGCCATGTCCCTCTTCTATATTGCTACTTCCCCTGTACCCAGCACAGTGCCTGCCACAGAAAGCAATAAACACTTACGAAGGAATGATATTGAACTCATTTTCT